CTCTAAGTCTCAATTTTCTCATCTATAAAATGAGGATGATAAAATGCATACTTTTTAAAAGAGGGTACTTACTGTCAAGTACTCTACAGGTATTATCTTATTTTATCCTCCCAGCAACAGCTAGATATTATTATTTTTCTATTTTATAGGAGTGAAAAATAGAGGCTCAGAGCAACGGGCTGTCATGTGTCTGAGGTCACAAGGCTGGTAAGTGGTACAGCCAGAACCGGACCCTGGGCATTCTGACTCCAGAGCCTTGCTTTTAACTATTAAGCAAAACTGCCAGATAAAGTTCTCTTGAGTATTAAATGAACTGATGAGCTCAATAGTGCTTGGCACATTTTGATTCTTTCATCAACGGTAATTATCAAAATGAGAGTTGAATGGAATCCAAATCCCAAGTCATGACAAATCTGGAGTTAAAGTGAATTTTGTAGCAACATTCAAGACCAAGTCCAAACTTTAGGCCTTCTCACTTGCAGAGAATTTATAAACAGAAAGTTCTCAAAGAAAAATACAAGTTCCCTGGGGTGTCAGAAATCACTTTTACAGAAGCTGCCTTTTGTAACATGGGAACAGTTGAGAGAGTAGGAAAGCAAGGAAGAACTGGAGAATGTCCTGGTCACGTTGTCAGAGCTCCCTTGAAAGGGAGCATCCTGACTCCTGGCCCAATCTGTCCAACAGGAGAGAAGAGAGAGCCCAGAGCTAAATGAGTGTCACTCCCCTGGCGCATGGATTTTTCAGGATACTAGGTAATGCTAGCATCATTTCTTCATTTCTCCATCATTCCCCCACCCCATCCCCACAAGGTCCTGCGCCTTGTCTCTTTTGCTTGCCACTCCACCACTGCTAAGAACTGTAAGAGGTCCAGTGTGGGCACTCAGACAACACTAGCTGAATGTGATACATAAAAAATGGTATAAAGATAAAGATAAATGTATTAGGGACCAGAATGGAAAACTATCATATCTTTTTAAAGATGGAACACAGGACTTCAAAGAAACTTCAAAAATCTGATAAGGGCTTTAAACTGTCTGCAGAGATTAAAGTTCAAACTCCCAGAAGGGTTTTCCCTGGCATTTTTTTAACCCCTTAAAAATTTTAATAAAATACACATAAAATTTACCATTTGAACCATTTTAAATAGACAACTCAGTGGCATTAAATGCATTCACACTGCTGTACAACCATCACCACAATCCATCCACAGACCTCTTTTACCATCACAAACTGAAACACCATTCCCATTAAACACTAACTCCCATTCCTTCGTCATCCTAGCCCTTGGGAACCATTATTCTACTTTCTGTCTCATGAATTTGACTATGCTAGGCCCTGCTAATAAATGCAATAATACAATTTGTCTTTTATGTGTGGTTTATTTACTTAGCATAATGTCTTGTAGATTCATCCATGTTGTAGCATGTCAGAATTTCATTTCTTAAGACTGAATAATATTCCACTGTATGCTTTCTACGACATTTTGCTTATCTGTTCAGCCACTGATAGACATTGGATTTGTTTCCAGCTTTTAGCAGTTGTGAATAATACTACTAGAAAAATGAATGTACAAATATCTGTTCAGGTTTTTGCTTTCAATTCATCTGGTAATATATACCCAGAAGTAGAATGGCTGGATCATATAGTAACTACGTCTAATTTTTGGAGGAGCCATTCCTGGCATTTTTTTCTGTTAATATTTTCAGACTGAGCTCCTACTAATTTGAACGGTTTATTTTGCCTCTCCAGTGTTCTATACTACATTTATCCTACATGATCTCTCTTTTGCTGGTCCCCTCTTTCATTTACTACCAAGATTATCTAGAAATATGTCCTTATGTTCCACAGTACAAATTTTTCCCAAAATAAAACATTAGGGCTGTTTGGAACAAACTGTCATTTCCCAGGTCATAAGGTACATTAGTTTAAAAGGTAAGAATCCTCTGGAGTTAATCTTTGTATAAATAAAAACAAAAACAAAAAGATAAGAATCCATGAATTTAAGAATCCATGAATTTTTTGAAAAAAAAAAAAAAAAAAAAAAAAAAAAAAAGCAGTCCTTCAAATCAGTACCAAGGTACCAGTATGTTATGAATCAGGTGACATACTAGAAAGATAGTTCCTGACTTACAAATGTCTCACCTAGGAACATCCCTGACATGCAGAGAGCAGTGGAAATCAGAAGTCTGGTTCCTCCTGGAAGTACCTGGAAATCTCTACCTGCTGCCATGGGGATGGTGAGGATCGTGGACTTTCAGTGCTTAGCAGGGACAGGTAAAACCCGTCTCTTCTCCACTTTCATCTTCCTTCTTCCTTCTTGACACCAGAACTATGGGAGTGCCATCCTCACTGTGGCTACCTGGTATCACAGTGAGAGCTCCTGTTCTCACTGGAAGATTGAATCACTTCAGAAGCAGAGGAGTGTCTGCTGGAACACTGCACAATTTTGCATACAGAAACAATGCTCTTTCACATCTAGTCAACGAGCTCTGCACATTCCATCTCCTAGCCACCTCAAAATCCATCTTTCCTTCTTGCCTTCTCTACCTGGGGTCAGAATCTCATCTGGGCCACTGCAATAGTTTCCTCCACAGTCAGGATTTCTGCTCTATCCTGCACACTGTGGAGAAGATCTACCTCTCAGTAGCTGAATATCATTATCATCACCAAAGACCTGAAATAACAATCCTCAAGGGAGATCTTAATGGCCCCACACCTCTGCTGGGTAAAGCTGCAGCACAGCCATGTCTTCTGACTTCTAGTCTGGTCTACACTTTTTTTTTTTTGAGACAGAGCGTCGCTCATGTTGTCCAGACTGTAGTACGTACAACGGTGTGATCTCAGCTCACTGCAACCTTTGCCTCTTGGGTTCAAGTGATGCTCCTGCTTCAGCCTCCTGAGTAGCAGGGATTACAAGCACCTGCCACTACGCCCTGCTGATTTTTGTATTTCTAGTAGATATGGGGTTTTGTCATGTTGGTCAGGCTGGTCTCAAACTCCTGACCTCAAGTGATCTGCCCGCCGTGGCCTACCAAGTGCTGGAATTACAGGCGTAAGCCACCGTACCCAGCCTTTTCCGCACTTTTCTCATCGGTTGCCTTTTACGTCTGCATGGCTGTCAGCTAAATGGGAGAACGAATACAACTGGTACCATTTATATGTGAAGGTCAGCAGTGGAGGGGAAGGAAGTTCGAGGGAAGTAACTGCATGTACAAGATCATCTTACCATCTTTTGTCACCCTGGTCCACACTGGTGGAGTATCCATTTTCTTTCCTTCTCCCTTTTTTAGGATAGTGTCGAACGTGTAGCAGTCAGGGTACTTCCTTCTCAAATCATCACACTTCTTTCTTCCTTACCTCATTTCCTAGCCACAGTCTTCACCATTTAAAGGTGGGGGGGGGGGGGCACTCTTCAAACCCTTTCCACATCTAAATCTTAGAATGCAATTGTGAAACTGCACTTGACTTCCCAGATCTTTGGAGAAGCTTCCTGGTTCTTGCTTTATAATCATGATCTATCGCCCTCACCTGAATTTTCGCTATCTAAAACAACAACAAACCTGTTGCATATGTAAGTAGCCTTCAATTATTTTAAAATTATTATTGTGTTTTTCTGATACAGACATAGTCTATATTGCCCAGGATGGTCTCAAACTGCTGAGCTGAAGCAATCCTTCCACCTCGGCCTTCCAAACTGCTAAGCCACCATGCCCAGCCTTAAATTCTCTTTTAAGACAAAGCAAAAGTATGTGTAAATCAAGTTAGAATTCAGGTGACCATTTGTATCAGTTTGCCTAGGACAGTCCCAATTTATGCCTATCGCCTTGTATAATTTTTAGAAGAGCTCCTTTTACTCTTAAAAAAAAAAGTTCCAGTTTGGAGGATAAATTACATGCTTACCCCAGTTTAAAACACACTTTGATTTTCTAGCATAGTGTTTTCCAGGTGATATGATTTTGCTCACATAATTGCACTTATTTACATAACTAGCCTTCAAAGCGGGGAGGGAAACACTCGATCTCTATTAAGTAAAGGAGGTAATCAAGGCTACAAGGGGTAGTGTGGTGACTAAGGTCACAAACTCAGGGCCAGAACCTAGGATTCCTGACTTCAAGTCTTAATACTTTTTCAGCTGTGGATCACCATGTGCAAATGTCTGAGTAAAAGCAAACTTCACTCTCTTGTCTGGAGATCTGGTTGGCATTGGACTTAGAAGTTTAGATATGTTCATCCTTGCACAGAGGCTGCCCTTCCACATATAAAGGAAGCAAAGAGATGGAAGAATTACTAGTGAAACAAAAAAAGGCTGTTAGTGAATCCCAGGGGCCAAATGACATATATCTTTTACCGGGTCTAATCTGATGACTTGAATCTTACATCTGGCCAAATTAGGATGTCTCCATTTAAAAAAAGAAAACAAAACCAAAGATCAATAACGTATGCCTACTCTTGCAAAGAATGCAAAGAAAATATAAATAGATTCTGGTTAGTCTTATAGATATATTTTCCTATGGTTACACACTAATTCTTTCTTAAAAATAACCAGCAAAATTCTACCGTCCTTGGTAAGTGGCAAAGAGACAGCACGTGGGCGGGCGACCTTGACCATTTAAAGATAAGCGGAGTGCTTTGTAAAATCTTCAGGGTATCCCAGAGGTGCTGAATGCGTGGCTATACCAATAAATAAACGCCCACTCTTTGAACCTCCTGAAAAGGTGGCCACAGGACACGCGGGCGCCGGGGCTGGGAACCCAGGGTCCTTCCTTGTCTGTGCCATGGCAGACCGGTTCGGTGTGACTTGCCAAGAATGGCTCCAAGCAGCTGGGCCTTCTAGCCTGACCACAGCAGAGGGATGGACGCCTCAGGGCCAGCTGTGGGCGCCGCAGCCCTACCGTGGAGGCGGCGGGTCTCCCCAGGCTAGGCGGCCAGCGGAGGACGCGCACGGTCCCCTGGGGGGAGGGGGCCGGCGTGCGCGCATGCGCACGGGCGCCATCGCTCGCCGGAAGAGCCCGCAGCCCGGGCGCTGCTGCTGGCGCCAGACGGCTCGCCGGCGGCTGGTGGAGCGCGGGCAGCGAGATGCAGCCCCAGGACAGCGCCGGGGCCGCGGAGCTGGAGGAGCCCGGGCTGCCGCTGACGGACGATGCACTCCAGGGCGTCAGTGAGGAGTCGGCGGCCGCCGAGGCAGCGGGGGCGCCAGACCGCGGCAGGTGCTGGCTCTGCCGTTCCTCGCCGTGTTGCTCGCGCGCGGAGCCGGGTGAGTGCGCGGTGTGGACCCGGCGTGGGTCTCGCTCTGAGGCCCCGAGCGGGCGCGGGCGGATTGGGGTCCCCGCAACCCGGGCGCAGGGCCCACCGCGCCTCCGTCCCTACTCTGCCCGGGGCTCGGGAAAACCCTCGAGCTGTCAGCCGGGGGGCTGCAAAGCGGGTTCCCGGCGCCTCCGCCGGCGCCAAGACGGGAGAAACTTTCCGATTGTTTGCAGTCCTTTTGGGATACCCAGGCTGCTCCTGTAATTATCGTCGGGGCAGGGCTGTGGAGTCAGATTGCAGTTTGACGTGCCCTCTCCGAGGTCGTAGGTAGGGGTCAGCGAGAAAGGCCATCCTGCGGTGGGGTGAGGTTGGGAGGAAGCTGACCCTGAAAAGTGATCCCGGTGGTTAAGGGTGCTCCCCGAAAAGGAAGGTGAAAGGCATTGACTCTAGAAAAAATGTTCGTCCTAGAGTTTTAGAATCGTGGAAAGGCAGAGATAGATGGGATCACTAGTTTTTAACCTTTAGGGATACAAAGACTTTTTAGGAAATGTTGCAGAACAAGGCATATCTTCTTAAGGAACTCACAACCTCGTCCCCAAAGCCGAGGACCCCTCGTGAAGAGCCCTTTATGTACAGTCCCCCTACTTCGACACATAAGGAAAGTGAGGCCCAGGAAGGCTTTGGGGTTTTCGCTTGTTTTGTCTCCTCCAAGATCTGGAATGTGGGGGTGAGGTGAGTCCAGGGAGCATCAGGGTTAGGATCCCAGCTTACCATATACCGCCCGAGGGCCCTTTCCAGTGGCCACAAGTGCTGCCTCAAGCACATTCCTCTTAGAAGTCGACCATCTACCAGGAGCAGCTTCCTGCAAGAAGAAAACAGGCAGATCTCCTTTTAGGACAGTTAAACCGCCTGCACCACTTTGCCTCTGGGTCATCTCCCCTAAGTCTGACGCTGGATTTCTGTTACTCTCGTCTCACTCCGCTTTTCTCTCCTCCCTTTTGCACTTTCCCCAAGTTAGACAAACTCTAGGAAGACTATTCTTGCTCCATTTCTGTCCTAAATGCAAACCGAAATGATCAGACTTGTGAACATTTCTAAACCGGCTGGTGCCTCTAGAGCCGGGATTATGCCAAGCTGAATTGAACAGATAAGCAGCTTTTGAAAAGGTCAGTTTCTCACCTATCACCCTCTGGCTGAATGTCCTTCTGGTGGAATGCTGAATCAGTCCATGCAAACTCTTCAAGTTTCCCTTTTTTGTGAATGGAAGAGCAGTTCTCTACACTCATGTAGCTCATGGTGAGATGAGAAACTTATGTGAGTGCATCTAAGAATCTTGTGAGGTGTTTAACTTCAAAGAAAGTTGCTACCAGTTAAGACTTAGTTATTGTAAGGTGACAGGATAATCTCTTGGAAAGAAAGTTGCCATAAAAACACTTTAAACTACTATTACCATTGAACTTTGTGACACCTCTTGTTCTAACTGCTTATCTCAACCTCAACAAAGCTTTTTTCAAGTTCTGGTTGGAACTGTTACCCATATGTCTTACATTCTTGGATGATCTTAACAGACAGCATACAGCTGTCCCAAGACATCTCCTTACTTTCTTCAGGGATAGTGTGAGTCTTAGACTGAAGCAAGGAGAAGTAGTTGTCTTAGGCCTGTGCTTCACATCCTCCTGGAAGGAGTTAGTGATCTAGTGTAGTAGTGGTTCTCAAACCGGTGGAGACTTTTAGAGTTACAGAGATTCTATTTCACTGGGTGTGAGATGGGGCTTGGGAATTAATTTTTTTGGAGAGAGGGTCTTACTCTGCCACCCAGGTTGGAGTGCAGTGGTGTGATCACAGCTCACTGCAGCCTCGACCTCCCAGGCTTACTGGATCCTCCCATCTAAGCCTTCTGAGTAGCTCGGACCACAGGCACATACCACCACACCCAACTAACTTAAAAATACTCTTTGCATTGATAAGGGAGTCTCCCTATGTTTCTCAGGCTGATCTCAAACTCCTGGGCTCAAGAGATCCTCCCACCTTGGCTTCCCAAGGTGCTAGGATTACAGGTATGAGCCACCGCAGCTGAGAATTAAATTTTTAAGTGTTACTCAGGTGATTCTAATTCCCAACTAGGATTGCGAATCACCAGCTTAAAGGAGAGGATAGAGAAGCTGAGCAACTTTTCAGTTTTCTTCTAAGTGAGGAAATCACACCATGGCCAATTACTTAATTTAAGTAATTTGAGTTACCAAATTATTAGATAAGCTTTCAGTGAGATATGAACATGGAACATAAATGAATGCCTCTTTCAATTATGCTAGCCTTGCTCATCTCTATCGACAGGTTTGGAATGATTTACTAAGAGACTGAGGTTTGTCTAAGTGGAATCAGTCCTCACTCTCATTAACAAATCATCAAATGCAGCAAAGCCTTCTAATTTCTGCCCCTTCCCAGTGGGAAAGCATGAGCCTTAAGTGTTTATAGACTAGAAAATATGTGTGTATGTGTTTTAAGGGAAAAGGTCACGAGGGCCAAGGGTATACAATTACATTTTTAAAGAGTTAAAATATTTAATGTTAAGTTAAAATATTCCTGGGGAAAAATTAACAAATTTATGTTGGAAAAGATACTTAGAGCAGGGAGATGTTTTCTGTTCTTGATCTTCTTCTTCTGTTCTGTTTGAGGGTGGAGTGCTATGTATGGGTTGAATTTCTTTTAAGAAAAACTGTTTTATTTGGACCTGAATTCTGAAATTTCAGAGGCCAAACCCCAAGGCTGACCACAGTCAAGGCATGTATTTTGTGGTGCTTCTCTTGGAAGTCTTCTAAAGCTTCCTTCTCATGAGCTGAGCCTGTGCAGTTTGTTTCTGCAATATGTACAAAACAGAATGAGGTTTCTGGCATCTTAAGGGAAGGGCGACTGTTAGTTCCAAAGCAGTATCCTCAGCCGTGCACCTAGAACAGGAAGAGGTAGAGACCTCTGATGAGAATAGTGCTCTTGAACACAAGGCCAGGCTGTAGAATGCCGGGGAAAGCCTGTGCACCAGCATACTTTGGTCCCAATTTGCAAAGTCATGTAATTGACCTGAGGATGTGTAAATGTATTACCTGGGGTTTATATTTATCAGAGAAGGGCATTTTAAAAAACATTATTACACAATGCTGTTTTATAGCTATCACATTGTAAAGTCCTAGACTGGAATAATACGAGTTTTTCTACAAATTGTTCATAGCCACTCACCCTTCAGTTCCACTGTGCTCCTAATCAATGAGGGCCATGTCAGGCCTTCACGTGCAAGCCAGGGCCCAGAAAGTCTAAAGTCCTGCCTGCCTCTGAAGTCCTGCCTGCCTCGGCTGATCACCCCCACCCCCACCCCACCTGCATTTGCCATTATCCCTGATCTCCCAGCCCAGCTGAGCTTCCTCTGATAGAAGCTTCCCCTCACCCTACCCTACCATCTTAATTACTCTTATCCTACCCATCATTGCAACTGAACGTATGGTAATATATACTCCTTGCCCCTACCTCCACCACTGTAACTGATCTTACTCTGTAACTTTCCACTGCCCACTCCAAACCTACAAAACCAACTCCTATCCCACTGCCCTTTGCTAATGCTCTTTTCAGCCTTAGCCCACCGGCCCCAGGTGAATAAACAGCCGTATTGCTCACACAAAGCCTGTTTGGGGGAGTCTCTTCATTCAAAGCACACATTTTTAACAGGCCAGTTGTGTTTCCTTTCTATCCTCAACCCTGTTTTTGTGTCAATTTCAAGAAAGGTATCCTGCAGTGTGTGGTTTTAGTTTTAGGGAGTTCTCCTTCCACCCTGCTGCCTTTACTCTCATCTGAATGACAGGAGTAAGATTGTAAGCAGGTTCTGCTCCTGTGTAGGAAACTCAGACATAGGAAATGACTAAACAAAAGTTTAAAGCTCACCCAGGTTGTCATTAATGACAGGATACTTGATGCCCTGGAGAAAGCACGGGTTTCCTGTTTCCGATTAAGCCAAGAGTAGGAATTAGATGGCAGTTCTGTACAAAGCACTTTGGATCCAGAGGGCTAGATAACCCACACCCTTTCCTTAAGGAGTTTGTGCTCTAAAGGGAAGATAAGTCATGAAGCATGAAAAGTTAAATACAGGTTTATTAACAGATCAAAATAACAAAATGGAGAACCTTCCCAGATTATGCTGTTGTCAATGGTGTTAGACTCTTGAGTCTTTCCCTGAAGTTCTCTCATCTTCTTGCATTCACTGAATGTTTATCCAGTGTCTTCCATGTGCCAGGCATGAACAAGACAGCAAGGTCCCAGCCCTGGAGGAGCTCATAGACTTGTGGGGTGAAGTCAGATAATCAATAGATAACTGTATAACTCAATTATAACCCATTTTCCAGAAAAGAACACTTTCTTCGTAAATCGAAGTTTGCCGGTAAGATGGCATAAGATATCATTTGGAAGGATTTCTTTACTTGCCATCTTGACAGGTGTTTCTTAAAGATTTATCTCACTGTCTTGGCAAGCGTTCTACTTTCTTGACTTGTAAGTGAGGAATGATTCTTCAGGGAGCCATAGGAAATCCATTTTATAGGGCAAAACGGCATTTTAAAAATGCAGGTTTAAATTGTTGTCCTCATCTATGGTTCTTCATAATCGATGGGGAAAATGGTACAGGCCCAAAGAAATGATATGCTTAGGAAGTAATACAGCCTGTTAGCCTTTGACACTGGTCCATTTTTCTCAATTTTTAAGTGAAAAATAATAAAACGTACACTTGGAAGCAAGGACTAACCAGAATTTAATCTTTTTCAGAAGCCAAGAAGAAAGCACCCTGTCCTGGACTTGGCTTGTTTTACACATTATTGTCTGCCTTCCTTTTCTCAGTGAGCTCTTTATTTGTTAAAAAAGTGCAAGACGTCCATGCTGTAGAGATTAGTGCATTTCGATGTGTGTTCCAAATGCTAGTTGTTATCCCTTGCTTAATATACAGAAAGTAAGTATTTTTTTAACTACAAAATAGAAGATACTAATAAATGTGTATATATCTTTTCACCTGCCTATAATACTTACTCTACAATATCTGTTTTATCCCTGTCATACGCTTACTGGTTCCTATGCCCCTTGGCTCTGATTAATGAAAAGGCATAAGCATCCACCCACGGAAGATTCTACCACAAGCATATACCACATACCCAACAAAGTGGGGAGAAAGAAACTTCGTTGTTTACCACCTCCCCATTTGAAAACAGAGCTTTCTTTGTATAATTCCCCCTGTCTTGTACCACCCCCCCTTCTTTCCTTTGGCATAACTACCGTTTAGAAAAAAAAAAAAAATGAAAAGAAGTAGTAGTGTATTCTGGTGTCAGAAGTTTCTTTAGAACAGGCTGCCCTTTTACCAGGGCAAATAGATTGTAGTAATAATATTTAGGTCTTCCTCAAAAGGTATTGGGTAACCCTGAGCAAGATTACTTCTGTGTTCAGTTTCCTCGTGATACTGTGTGACCTCTGCCCTACAAGGTGATTCCAAGGGTCAAATAAGATTTATTATAGGGCGGAACGCCTTGTGTATATTGCACAGTGTATGAAAATTGTCTCTATTCCATCCTCTCTGTTCTCTCCTCACCCAATTCCTCTTCTCCTTCCCTATTGAACTCCCCACCCTCCCTGGGTTAAAATTATGCCTCCTTCAACCATTGTAACCTCCGTACACCTCTGTATTTAGAACCCTGGAGAGAGACCTGTTGGGTCCTTGGTGTCTGCCTAGCTCTTTGTCTCTTTGGGCAAAAAGTCTATGCCCCAAATTAAAACCTTTAGTCACTTGTCAAAAATGTCTCCTTATATCTCTAACAGATTCACTTAGAATAGTTTCACTCCATATCCTGAGGATTTGTTGGGAAAAGTGAAAATCTTCTATTATTGCCAGAAATTCCTGTCATTGTGGACAAGTCACACTATTTTAAGAAATGATGTTGTGGAGGAGGGCATAAAAAATAAATTAAAAAAAAGAAATGATGTTAGGACTTTAGAAATTTCTAAGGGTAGCAGCAGAACACTGATGCTAACATAATCATCTCCCCTATTTTGAAATAAAGATATTGTCAGAGGAAGGACACTAGAAGAATGTTGTTAAAATCCTTGACCCTAATCTGTTTTGACCCATTTTATGTTTCATTATCATGGAGCACTCTTTTGCTTCTCAAAATATGGGCCAAATGAGACCATGCTTTCATTTTAACTCCAAGGTACTCGGGGTGGTCAAGTCAGAGCTAGATGATAAACTAAAGTCTGGCCCTGACACAAGTCAGCAAGTTGCACCTAGTCAGGTACTTACACAGAGTGGGTACTTAGTAAATATTTACTGAAAAAGAATTTGAATAGCACTAATCATACTTTCCAAACACTACTTGTTCTTTTTTACTGCCTTTGACTCTTTCCTCATGAGAACAATGAAAACTTGTCTCATAGTCAATGACTGAAATACATTTTAGCAGTGCTTCAAGTTTTATAGAAAAATTCATGAGATTGAGAATGAGCATTAGTTGCTTCTAAGTTTCCTTACACAGGACAGCTAAATCTTGACATTGTATTTCTTATAAAAATGATATATTTTCTTTATAAAAAATTTGGAGAAAATAAATATAAAGAGGAGAAATTACCTATGAGTTTATTAAGGTATAAACATGATTAACATTTAGTTTATTTTCCTTTTGTGCTTTTTGCAAACATGTATACATATACATGGGATAAATATATTAATTGAATTTTAATTTTACTATGTATGTAATTCACTCACACTGGTTTTGCTTTTACTGTGAACATTTTACTGTCATTATACTTAGAAAATACTATTTTTAAAAGCTATATAATCATTTGTGGATATTATAATTTACTATTCCCTTATTTTTGGATATTTAGTACTTTAAAAATGTTTAATTAAAAATTGTAATATAAAAACAAATATTAATTTCATTTAATATGCATTTCTTCATTTGAATTTACAGAACTGGGTTTATAGGCCCAAAAGGTCAACGAATTTTCCTCATTCTCAGAGGAGTCCTTGGTTCTACCGCCATGATCCTTATATACTATGCTTTCCAGACAATGTCCCTCGCTGATGGCACAGTTATCACGTTTAGCAGTCCAGTGTTTACGTCCATATTTGCTTGGATATTTCTCAAGGAAAAATATAGCCCTTGGGATGCTCTTTTCACCGTGTTCACAATCACCGGAGTGATCCTTATCGTGAGACCACCATTTTTGTTTGGTTCCAACACTTCGGGGATCGAAGAAAGCTATTCAGTCCACCTTAAGGGAACGTTCGCAGCAATTGGAAATGCCGTATTTGCTGCATTGACTCTAGTTATCCTAAGAAAAATGGGAAAATCTGTGGACTGCTTTCTGAGCATTTGGTATTATGTAGTACTTGGCCTCTTTGAAAGCGTCATCGTCCTCTTTATATTAGGAGAGTGGAGTCTGCCTTACTGTGGGTTGGACAGGCTATTTCTCATACTCATTGGGCTCTTTGGTTTGGGGGGTCAGGTATTTCTCACGAAAGCACTTCAAATAGAAAAAGCAGGGCCGGTAGCAATAATGAGGACAATGGATGTGGTGTTTGCTTTTATCTTTCAGATTATTTTCTTTAATAATTTGCCAACATGGTGGACAGTGGGGGGTGCTCTCTGCGTAGTAGCCAGTAATGCTGGAGCAGCCATTCGTAAATGGTACCAAAGTTCCAAATGAAGCATCATTTCCAAAATACATATTTTTTTTCAAGTACACCATCACCTAATTCACATACAGCATGCACACACATCTAGAAAATCTGCATTTGCTTCATTGGTTATAGCTAATGAATTTCATAAAGTACCATTTTTGAATATAGTATGTCTTTAAGAATAGCTAGTCTGGTCTAACAATTTTTTGGTAGCTTTGGTTTTGTTTTTTGTTGTTGTTGTTGTTGTTGGGGTCAAGTTGGTTAGAGGAGAGCTCATTGAAGAAAAACCAAAATATTTTATGACTAGTAATATGACATGTAATTTTTAAAATGTATTTTTGGTACTGATGGGATATGGGTGGGGAGGCTATTTTAGATATTCTTTTAGCAGTGTAGAGCCTAAGAAACTTGGTTCTACCACCGTGATCCTTATGTACTATGCCTTCCAGACAATTGATAATGCTGCTATAATTAGTATTATGTTGATAATTAATTTGCAACCTTATTCTATTTAGGAGGACAAAGTTGAAGCTTAGAATAGGTGCCTACTTAATGGTGTTAATAATACAAATGAATTGGCCTTATTTTCAAGACTTTTATAAATGATTATCATACTTGTAACTCATATTTGTGCCTTTTCATTTTAATGCTGGAATATTTATTATGTCACCTCTAAAACACTTAACTTGCCAAATTTGGCTAGTAGTTTTCCGTTTCTGTGGCATTAGCAACTGCAGGTAGCATTCTATAATTTTAATTGTCTTCAGTTTTTTTGAAACTGCACTAAATTTTTCTTAACATTCCAAGATTTCAGATCTTTAAATCACAAAAAGAAATCTTGGCATGACCAGTGTGCACATTTCCATCCTGAAGTGTTTTCTCTTCACTAGAAATGTGATTTTCTATATATTCCTCTTGGATTTATAGTGTGATGCCAAATAAAATTTTCTCAGGATCTTATTAGGTTGAACCACATGGAATTGCCAAGATTTTACTATTTGAACTTAGAAAAACCATAGTTTCATATGGTTCACCCTAATAGATACCTCTCTTATTCTCTAAATGAAATAGAAGACTTTGGAGTATATGTTTTTAAAGTAATTTTTTAAAGTACGGTAATGCTATTAAACTTATTTTTATAGTTATGAAATTATATGTAATGCTTTATGTTATACATTAAATGTAAAGACCTGTGAATCCATGTTTGACTTTCATAGTTTTCTACATAGAAATAAAATCACCATAAATTCTAGTATATCAGTATGATGTTAAATGTCAGTGCCATACCATGATGCTGCACCATGATACTAACGTCATGAATTCAGACAGCACATTTTACATCTGGAACTTCATCAGACCGACACTTTGCAGTTAGAGAGAATTTAATATCTAGAAAAGCTTGGGAGGTTTATCAGGACTTAGGGAGTACACGTAAATGATTCTTTGTTGTAACGAGCCCTTTATTGGTGAGGTTGCAATAGCCTTCAGCTTTTATTGTGTCAGATGAAGCATCTCATTATCTTAAGCCTGCATAGTTGAAAGGTTATAGGCTCTTTCCTACCCTCTCATCATAATTTTTCCAAAGCAAAGAGGAACTTGGCTTCTGGGATTCATGCCTTGGTGAGAAAATCTTTTCCAATAGTTCCAATGGGGGAATTTTTGGCCTGCTGATTTTATCAATTGTCTTGACACCTTACAGATCCTAAATGAAGTCTATATAGGTGAGTCATCTCTATTCCACCTAATTTATGGTATTGGAATTAGATATTTGCAGAAACATCATTCTGCAGTATCTTAGATAATTATAGAATCAGGAGCAGTTTAGAACTCAGAGGTCTCAGAAATCATCACATAGGGGTCGTGCTCCTTAGATAGGGATGATAAGGAGGAGACCTGCCCAAATTGAATTTCCACGGCCTTCCTCTCTTAGTTGCATGATAAAGTATGGACAGTAAACCACTACTTGAGCCACCTAAGGTGAATTAACTCTCAGGGAACCCTCTCCCAGTTCTTTACCTTGCACAATGAAAGAACCAATGGTATCTAGAAAGTTAAATCCCTTTAGGCCCATCCACTAGAGACATGTTTTATTTCAACAATGTGGTTTAAGTACTTGAATGTCAAACTATATGATTGAGGTTAGAGAATGTGTTTCTTCTAGCTCCTACGGGGGTATGATTCCTAAACATAGTGTCCAAGGTGTATACAAGGATATGTATTGTAACAACTATGGTTGTTTATATTTCGCAGAGTGTAGTTTCTATATCTTGAAAAGGAAAATATTTTCATAAATTGTTTTTATTCTATAAGTACTAATAAAATAATATGAAAGAAAGCTATATGTTGGTTGTTATGATTATAGCAGATATCTAATATAACTTATTTCCCCTTCAACCCTGTGCTTCAAAATTTATTCTCTATAAGAGATTGACCTCTAGCCATTCAGCTGGGATGTAATCTCAAGGTTTAAACTGTTTATCTGACCCTCTTGTACTGTCAAGAGGGTCAGATGAATGGTTTAATCTGTTTATCTCTCCAAAATAAAGGCATTAATCTGTGCCAGTGAGACCTTCATTCTTCTAGATCCTGAGAGCTTAATGCAGCTTTGAACTCTGTACTTTCTGTTCCCATAGCTAATCTGTTACTAAATCCTGAAGAGTCTTTCTTCTTATTGTTTTGTGGATTCATTCTTTCCTCACCATTTCCACTACTATCATCTTAGTCCAACACTTATCACCTTACACCTGAATTACCACATCAGTATACTGGTTACCTGCTTCTAGACTCTTTCCTCCACTCTGATTCCTGTCCTAGTGCCAGCTTAATGTTCGTAAAGGCCTGCTTTCACGGTTACTCTGGTTCTCATGAAACCACAGTGATGCCTTATTACACACCATTTCACATCAAATTATTCATTTGGCCCTATTCCCACTTCTCTGACCTGATTCCCACATCCCAACACAAATTCGATACTCAAATAGATCTTAACCACTAGCTCCCATGTTTGCCAGTAGAGGCCTTCTTCTGCATTTCCCTTCTGTCCCTACCTTCTCTTATTTACCCTCTAAGGCCTGTTAGCCTCCAATGGCTCAGCTTGGGCTTTTGATTCTTCTGAACTCTAGCTTCTCCTATCCACGTAACCCATCTTGGAAGAGTGGGTAAAGCATTGCATTAGGATCTGAAGATCTGGTGTGGTTTTATCACTTTCCAGCTGGGCAAATCACCTAATATACCTGAGCCTGTTGTCCTTCCTTGCCCAGTCCCTCTAAAAATGACTACCATAGAAGGGCTTGTAGACCATTAAGAAGGATGAAAACATTAAGTATTGAACTGGCTAAGACTGTATAATTGAGTATTCACTCTTCTCTTCAAAATAAGGCTTGTACCAGAGTCCTTACTCCTGAGCAGTCTTACCAGGAACCATAAGAACATGACTATCAGAATGCAAACTCCGTTTGGCCCCCTCCTGCTAGCACAGAATTGTGCTGTCAAACAGCTTTTACTTCCTAGCTGATCTTCCCATGCCGGGCTGTCAAGGATCACCAGTCCTTTCATGCGTAGGTGTTGCCACCTTTCCAGTTCTGGCCCTAGTTCTGATGATCTGTGGGTACTCTGCTTGGCTCTGACCTGGGGAATAGGCCTGATTCACGTGTGTTTCCCATGCACTATGTACTCAGCATGGTTCTTTTAGCCTCTTATCTATTGCACCTCGTAAGCGTAATTAGTCTCTTGAGGACATTCTAGTGGAAAGAGAGCCAGATGTCCTTGTTAGCACCCTGGTCTCTGATCTAGGTGTGAATGGATCCATGATCAATAATGGGCATTAGAATTTGGTTGTATGGGTAAAGGTTGGATATAAGAATCCTGGACACTACCCTAAGCATGCTGTTTTATGCCCCCTTTGGTGGCTTACATTAGATCTAATATAGCTACCATATCCACCTAGAATTCGACAAGATAGCTTATCGGCGGCTCTGAGATCCACAAAGATGGATCTACATTTTAGCCTATTTGAACATTAAATTTGGAGCTGGACCTGGAAGACCACATGAACCTTGGCACTTCCCATCTCCTGGAAATTGGGGGGTGGGCTTTATAGCAAGAAGAAGACATAGCTGGTATGCAAGAGGGTAAGGGAGGGCAGGAAATGTACCAGAGTTGCCCAGTACACAGGAAAAGGTTCCACTGGGCTCAGGAAATGTCACTACTAGAAAAAAGAGCCTGGGCCTCTTCTAGTAAACTTATGTGATTCTAAAAACCATGTGAAACTGATACCAGTAAGCCTGATGAAGCAAAGGAAGTAACCTAGATTCATGATTAGTTACCAGGGTAGGGTCAGGAAAGTATAAAAACACGGTTGAGCAGAAGTAGACTTATGCAGGAGGAAATGTGTTCAGTTGAATGGTGCAGCACGAAAGTACCATGCCAGGGTCTGGCGCTCCCTGGTGCACCAGAAGTAGACAGAAAGGTCTGGCCAGAGGAGTGCATTACTGACCAGGAGGTCTGTGTCTGATGCTATAAGAACCTGGCCATTCTTACAGCTGTTCCAAGTATACTTGGCCATGATTTAAGATTAGGCCGTTTGTGCCAAGAACATGCCAGAAAGAGAGAAACTAATAATACAACTATATTTTATTTTTTCTATGATTATAGCAGGTGCTAGCTCAATAATATTAGAATTGAATTCAAAGCAATAGCATAATTCAGAATGGACTAACATGTTCTCTCTTCTGATGCCCCCCCTGGGAACCCAGCCACATTGCTGTGAGGAAGCCTGGGCCACGAGGAGAAGCCCACATGGAGAGATCCATGTAAGGAGAAACTGAGGCCCCGACACTTGGCCCCATCTGCACTGCCAGGTGACAGCCAGCACCAGCCTGCCAGCTATGTGAGTGTTCACACTGGGAATGGATCCTCTAACCCTCAGGTGAGCTGCCCCAGCTGATTCTGTGTGGAGCAGAGACAAGCCTTCCCCCCACCTCCTGAGCACTGCTCAAATTGCAGATTTGTGAGAAAAAAGAAACCAGTGATTACTATTTGAAGCCACTAAAAAATAAAATATAAATGATATAACTGTCTTGGATATGTATGTACCAAATTATATATAGTCACAATTACATAAAGCAAAGCACCTCAAAGTAACAAAAATAAACAAAAGGTGTGACATTTTCATGGGCTTTTCTCAGCGTGTAACAGATAAAATTGGCAAAAATTAAATATATAGGGGATAAGAAGAATAAAATATAATAAAGTTGATCTAAGCCAACTGTTTTCAGAGTGTGGACTGGATACTTCTGAGAGTCCTCAGGACCTTTTCAAAGTGTTTGTGATGTCAAAACGATTTTAATAACAATACTAAGAACGTTATTAGCCTGTTTCACATAATTCTCTCATAGGTATAGAGTGGAGCTTTCCAGAGGCTATAAAGACATGAAATTGCAACAGCTTGAATGCAGAAGCAGATAGAAGAATCCAGCTATTATCTATCAAACTAGATTTGCAAAAATATAAAGCAGGGCCACTCTTCCCACTAATTTTTTTTTTTTTTTTGGAAAATAGTCATTTTTTATTAAAGTGTTATTTATATTAACATACAATTACATTATCTTTCAAAGCCAGCACAGTGGCTCACACCTGTAATCCCAGCATTTCGGGAAGCCAAGGTGGGCAGATCGCTTGAGTCCAGGAGTTTAAGGCTGCAGTGAGCTCTGATCACACCACTGCACCCCAGCCTGGGTAACAGAGCAGGATACAACAGATGATAACACACTTCCTCTTTGTGTGTTTTAGTTCCTTTGTATGTGCATTTTAGAAAAGTCAGAAGTCTTCGGTACTTTGCAACATGTGCATTGGTACAACTTCTAGAAAGGGCAATTTGGCACCATCTGTCAGATTTACTTTATATGCAAAATGATACGTACAAGATTATTTGGCTGGGCGCGGTGGCACACGCCTGTAATCCCAGCACTTTGGGAGGCTGAGGCAGGTGGATCACGAGGTCGAGAGATCGAGACCATCCTGGTCAACAAGGTGAAACCCCGTCTCTACTAAAAATAAAAAAATTAGCTGGGCATGGTGGCGCATGCCTGTAGTCCCAGCTACTTGGGAGGCTGAGGCAGGAGAATTGCTTGAAACCAGGAAGCGGAGGTTGCAGTGAGCCGAGATCATGCCATTGCACTTCAGCCTGGGTAGAAAGAGCAAAACTCTGTCTCCAAAAAAAAAAAAAAAAAAAAAAAGATTATTTACTGCAGCCAAAGATTATTTACTGCAGCCAGATTTGTAATAGCAAGAAAAATGGAACTAGCCTGAATGTCCCTCAGTAGGGTACTGGTTAAATAAGTCATGGTATATACCCAAAATAAAATATAATGCAATTAAAAATAAATTTAAGAAGAGCAAGGAAGCTTTCCATATATGGCTGTGGAATAATGTTCAAAATTGTTAAGTGAAATTCATATCATGGTTGAGTATGTGCTCATTTGATTAAAAAAGGTAGTAAACAGATGCAAGAAACCGTTAACATCAGTTGCCTTGGCAGCTGAAGGGCGAGGGGAGAGGAGACTTTCCACTGAATCCCCTTTTACATCTTTTGAATTTTGAACCATGTGGGTAAATAACATAGTCAAAAAAATAAAAATAAAATTGGTGGAACAAAAAAAGGTGACTTGATGGAAAAGAGAAAGGAAAGGAGTAAAAGACAGGGAGATACGTATATACATTACATCATATATACATACATACATGCGTAGAGAGATGTTTCCTGCTTTAATCTGGGCTTTCACCCTGACTCACCTTACTGACTTCCTTTTTTGCCTCATAGAGTGTGCAGACCATACTTAAATTCACACATGCTCCATGACTGAAGAGAATACAAAAGACGAAACTGAAGTTCAGCTTTTTAATAGGACTGTATCCTCCAAGAGCCCAGAAAGCATTGTCTGGCCCCAATTCAGATGTCAGCCTTTCTATGGCACCAAAACAATTTTACTTGGAAAGGACACTAACATTTATTGAATAAACCTCATCCTGGCCAAGAGCTTTTTAATCTTTGTCTCATTCCCTCACTAATCCTGAGTGATAGATAGATTGGGAACTGAAGTTCAAAGAGGTGGAATTGGGTTACCTATGTGCTAAATTCTAGTTCCCTCACTAGTAAATGATGAGGCTGGGCCACGAGGTCTGCCTGACACCAAAGACCTTGCCCTTTCCAATACTTCATGCTGCCTCTGTACTTGAGGGTAGCAGACTGCAGGACAGGGAGTCACTGTAGCATTTGTCACTGTGGTGGTTGAAAGGATTGTTTTTTGCCTTCGGGATTTAGAGATACATACGTCC